AGAGAATTCAAGACCTCAAGGTACAACGAACTTAAAGCTCAAACAAAGGAGAAACATAGGACAGTGGCACTCTCCGACATAGCCGACTGAAAACGCAATCTGGTTTAATACAGAAAACCATAGAACTAATTATAAATCGATGGCAAACCAAAAAGCCTCTCTCCCCTCATGAACCCATTAGCAGACATTGATGTAGTTGACACACTTGCTAAGAAGGGGACAACGATTTTGCAAGGCATACACCGGCCGATGTCTTTCCACACAATGAAGGCCTTAATCAGAAGAGAATTCAAGACCTCAAGGTACAACGAACTTAAAGCTCAAACAAAGGAGAAACATAGGACAGTGGCACTCTCCGACATAGCCGACTGGCCAAGAATCGAAGTCGTTGCTGAGTTTAGACTACTTACCGGACACGATTGTTTGGCAAAACATCTTCACAGATTGGGAGTATACACTCAACCCACATGCCCTCTATGTAACCTACAGGAGGAAATGGAGAAGACCCATCTGATTCGATGTCCAGCCCTAAAGACAACGACGGAAAGTCAGAGATACTGGAAAGCAAGTAGACGGCTAATGAACTGCTATTAATAAACTGCTATAAATGTACCCCCACCCTTGGGGGAAGCTGAGGTCAAAGTTTAAGGGCTAATGATAAATATCACAATGCCTGCCATTTGAAATAATAATAATGTGTTATTATTGAGTTCTGACCTTTGGGAACTATGTATAATTTAATAAGACACAGCCATTATTATTTTCTGTCTTTTATAATTCAACTACAAAAACAAATTATCTTCCTGATAACAGTCGATAGTTAAAATCGAAGATAAATTTCGAGAAATTACCAGCGGAAATGAATATTTCTTAGATAATAAATAAACGAAATTATCGCTCCATGTCTCTTATAAGTCTAAGTTCTATAACCCTTTCTAAAATTTCTTCTTGAAGACGAATTGTAATTTTCATTCTCAAGACGCCACATAGTATAACTCCTGATGTGACAGCCACAATAAAACGAATTTCCATCCGTTTGTCAGAGATAGAGCAAAAGCAAAGGGTCTTAGACAGTTTGTGAAGTACGACGCATTTAAAACATATTCAGCAGGATTTGTCTTCAAGCCTCATGTGCCCAAACAGCAATCAATCCTTATAACCTAGTAAAGTGAAATCGTAAAGGCAGATTGAAGGAACATGCAACAATCATAAATTTAGTTAAGTGGATTTGAAAACACCATTCTCCATTAGCCTTATTTCATAATTTATGTTAAAAATTTACAATAGATGTTAACTGATGGTTATAACATCAGGGCAATAATTTTTTTGAAAATTTGTTTGCATGATGCATTTTTAGAATCGATACACAAATATATGAAGATAAACAATAAGATTAAGGTATAAAGTTAAGATAAGTACCTATTACTTTAGCTGATGCATTATAACTTTCTTTTACATGAGGTCTATATTCATGACCTTTACCTAATGTTTTAACTAATTAGGTGACATTTACGTGGTTCGATTTCCCCTCCAGCCATCTAACCGAAAATGTCGCTAAAGCAAAGTGTCGCAAAAAGTTGGCATTTAATCTAGTAGTTATTTTATTTGTAGAAATTATGAATGAGGTAATTCTGCCTCTGAAAAAACCAAAGGAATGGAAGGTTTTGGTATTGGATAAATTGTCTACACGAATGGTATCCTCTTGCTGCAAAATGCATGAAATCATGAATGAGGGAATTACTCGTAAGTTTTGTTTTTCTATTTCTAATTTCTTTTAGTTGTTGAAGATGCCAGTAAACGACGGGAAATTCTTCCACTGGAGGCTATTTATCTCATAACGCCAACTGAGAGGGTAGTTTCTTTTGCTTTATCTGATTTGCTGTAGTCTATTCAAGCTCTCATGAATGACTTTCAAGGCCCACGTTATCAGTATAAAGGAGCTCACGTATTTTTGACAGAAGGTGCTCGTATTTTTTCTTTATTTTAATCTTGTAGCCTGTCCCGATGAACTTTTCAATCGTCTATGTCAGTCTAACTGTGCAACCTTTATCAAAACTTTGAAGGAAATAAACATAGCATTTCTACCAGTCGAAAGTCGAGTCTTTTCGTTAGATTCACCTGAAAGCACTCAATTCTACTACAATCAGAGTTATCCACCTCATCCTGGTCAAATGTATCATTTGGAACATATCGCGGAACAGATTGCCACACTTTGTGCTACAATTGGTGAATACCCCCCAATTCGTTATAGAAGGTAGATCTATTATTTTTTAAAGTCATTATTTATACTGTTATTTGCTATTACTGGTTAAATAGATTTGAAAGATGCTTGATCATTGACTGTATGGATACACATATATCTTTACATGTTCTATTGTTAAATTTAAGGAGCTTTCCGTATTATTAATCTCTTTGTTTTTGCATCTGGCCTAATTTCACCAGGGACTGAATGCAAATTGTTATGAACCTGCACTCTCTAGTTAAAATTCGGTCCATTCTCCGCTTGCTAATCTGTTCATTTTTGTGATAACTTCGAAAGTCGGATTATTGCTTATTAATAACTTTATGGAGGGACTTGGGATTTCAATATGTACCTTTTCCTCAACATTTCAAAGCTTCCTTCTCTCCTCTAGCCAACACGACAAGAATTGTGAATTCGCCCAATTAGTTCAACAGAAACTCGATGCTTACAAAGCCGACGACCCTCAGATGGGCGAAGGACCTTACAAGGATCGCAGTCAATTAATCATTCTTGATCGTGGATTTGATCCCATTTCACCAATTCTTCATGAATTAACATTCCAAGCTATGGCATATGATCTTCTCGCTATTGAAAACGATGTCTATCGGTGAGTTTTCATAAAAATTTTGAGGCAAAATCTATATCAAATAAATATTTACTTAACTACTCGTGTAGTTTCATATTTTTTCTGGAATCAGTTATCGTTATGTGCAAGTTTCGAGGTACGCTGTTTTTCCGCTTTAGTTGGAGTTTCCATATTAGATTGACTTGATTAATAGTTTTATAAATGCATCGATGGTTAGTGTGAGCCGACCATTGTTTCACAATTTTCTTATGCTATTTGATCTGTTTTTGGTGCAAATTTGCCTTTTTGCCATCGAATTTTTTGGCTGTATGCGAAGAATAGAGAATTAATTTTGATCGGGAAGGGAAGATTTTTAAAATGACGTGTTGAGAGTCCCGTCCAGAGATTTGGATCTAAATTCTACGTTTTCTTGTTATAGTTAAAGTTGTGGTAATCATGCGCGTCTATTAAATCAGATATCCTAAAATCGACACCTAATGTACGCATCCACTGAAGTGGATGGCTAACAGTATTAGCTAATGCTGGAGCATTGGTGTTCAGTTTATTGGATGCTTATAGGCACGATTATCTTCTTTATTAACTCATCACCGACCTGATGTATTTGCATGTTTTAACTCAATTCATTTCCTCATAGACGTCTCTTAACCTTCATCTTTGAATTACCCTATCGTTCCCAATGATTGCTCAGTCCAAATTTCAATTACTTTTACAAATGATTGCGTACTGACTTCTCAAGATCATTAAATGAATCGGTTGGTTTGTCTTGTGGAAGTTGTCACTTATCCTAAGCGAACGTACGTCTAAATCGATGAAGTTGTGCCAATCTCGTGACTCCTAATTTGGTAGATGTGTACATTGACCACATACATTTCGATGGTGTGCAAGTCTGTGGTTTTATAATGACTCTATAAAAGATTAACTGCTTTTTTTCGTCCCTTCAATTAGGCTTCATCATTAAATTTATGGTTTTCGGATTAATTCTGTGCTCGTTTAATAATTGTACTAGCTATGCACCCTAGTTAGTTCATGACAAGGCCAATTTATTGCGAAATACCAAAATATCGATGGTTTAAGGGGAAATAACCGATTTTTCATTTTATTAAGCGCTTGTCATACAACTACAAACTGTTCTTTACATGGGTTTAAAGCTCTGTCCTTTCGATAGATATCGCTCTGCTTTCCACTCAATTTGTGAACTCTAGCAGCCCTATTTAACTCAGTTTTTGCACGGAATGGATTAATTATCGATTAACTCATGACATAGCTTGAGTTCTGCCCAAATCAATTCAAATTAAACATTCCTTACATTTGAAAGTACCGTTTTACCAATTCAATTATATTAAAAATACTATCCTTAGTTCCATCTTCCTGCCCATGGCAGTAACAAGATACAAATAAATTGAGGTGGAATCATTAACCACGGATTTAAATCTACAACTCGACAGGAAATAACCTCATCCAAATATATGTGAGTTTAATATATAAACTTGAATATTCGGTATTATCGAATAGAAAGAAAATTCTTGATATCTAAGCGCGTCAATATCTACTTCTTATTGACTCCCCTTTTTCCTATGACTTTCTGTGGTCAAAACTTTAAAAAAGGCTTTATTTGTTTTGGCATTGCCATTAAAATAACGAAACTCCGTTTGATTGGAAGACAATGATCAGCCACAACGCTCAATCAAAAACAAAATACCAGCTTCAATAGAGGTGTTACTTGAATGCAAAGGCTTTGTCTTAAAAGTTGAAATTTTTTCAAAGCAGTTGGGACTAGTTGGTTTCTCAAATTACATTGAATGTCTGTTGCCATAGGTGAAGATTCATATTTTAATCTTCGTAATTGCACATACAAGAAGGCTGAATTCGTTCAAATTCAAGGCATCATCTGTCTGTACCACTTTATAGCCACAGGGCCATTATTTGGCATAGTGTGAACTTCGCGTCTGGTAAGAACAAATTCTCATCGACTTCACTCGGATTTAGCGTAAACTACTATAGTAAAATTATAACCATCCTATTACCAAAGTTATTTGCACAATCAAAACCCTTTATTCATCCTTGAACTTGATGATGCAAATAGAACGTACTGTTTAGCATTTCTTGTACCTATTGTCTCCATTTGAAGATATCAATTTCTGTTCCGAAGTACGCAGTCGCGTTGTCTGCTGTAAGTGCAAAGTGTGTACTTTCATTTGTTCCTTCGTATTGTTAAATTTCTTAAAACAATGGCTTTAAGGAAAATATTTTAATGTATAGGTAGGGGGTGGGGTGGGGTGGGGGTGGGGGTGGGAGGGNGGGAAGGGAGGGAATCTATTTTACGATTTTCTGGGTTTTACCGCCTATTAGCTTTGAAGAAGTCATATTGGTATTGTCGTCAACCTTGAGAATGTTCGCATCCACTTTCGTTCTTCATGGGACTTCAGGCAACCAGAAATTGGTCTCTGAGAGCCTCTATTTTTCTTGATACTACAACAGAATTACTCGGTATTGTTCACCTTAAGCTGGGAACTTACGAATGTAGAAGCAGGACTCAATATTGACTGTTTTTTTTTGATATGTCAATTTCCCTTGATCATAGTTTTGTGTAGACTTTCTTCCTTGTTCTCTTTCACACCTAGTAACTCACAAAACTAGCTTTTTGGCTAATATTACTCTAAAGGCACGAGAGGTCTTCGTTGCGGGGTGACCGCGTGATTTTCAGAGCTGCAGCTTTTACTCCTTCTCACTAGTCACTGCTTACGCTTTTTGTCTACTTTTGTTTTATCAGTTATATCAACACCTCGGGACCCGAGGAGAGAGAGAAGGAGGTAATTTTGGACGAGTCGGATGATTTGTGGAGGGAGCTTCGCCACCAGCACATTGCGGTTGTCTCTCAACAGGTATGTGTTTCGTATTAACGTCAACCTCTCATTCCCCAAGTCATTTCACTGACATCCAATGATGTTCAGGTCAGTGTTTAACTTATTCATACACAAAGTCTTATGTCATGGATGTGTGCTTCCCATCTTCCAACTTTCTGTCAGAGGAATGACCAACAGCGCTCACAGTTTTTTTTTCTAATATGAAGTTCACATTCTGAGTTATAAATACTTTCTCAAGCAGACCTTTTATAGCATCTTTTGAATTTAATTTGTTTTTTTTTCGCCTGCTTCCTCTCTACTTGTCATCGAACTATATTGTCTCATATTGCTTTTTCCGGTCTACTTCTACGCTATCTCATTCTCTCCCCTCCCCCCCCCCCTAGATTTCAACAATTAAAGTGTTTCAATGAGGCAGAGCAAGCGGTAATCTTTCTTTTCTTTTATTTGTTTCTTCTTTTTTGTGGACGTATTATTAAGCCTATAACTGCTTGGAGTGAATTGGTTTGACGCCTGTGACACTTTTGATTACATTGGCATTGAGTTTTTAAATTCATCTCATCACGGCAGAGCAAAACTCCGGTACCCGCCCCCCCCCCCCCCCCCCCCCCCTCCTTCTCCCTTTATTGTCACTTACCACGGTTCAAAATATCCACTCTTTAGATTGCCTAGATTATACTTCTCTCCTTCCAAGAATTTGTAGTTTGATCGTTTCAATACATTTTGTTAGAGATTTTAAATGGTGTGCTAGTCAATCTATACTCGATTTCTTATTCTGCAGGTAACGAACAAGTTAAAGAAGTTTGCCGAGGATAAGCGAATGGCAAGCGGTAGCGATAAGACGACCATGCGGGATTTGTCGCAGATGTTGAAAAAGATGCCCCAATACCAGAAGGAGCTCTCCATGTACTCCACTCACTTCCATCTCGCCGAGGACTGCATGCACAACTACCAAACGTACACCAATAAACTCTGCAAAGTCGAACAAGTGAGCTCCTGTTTATTTATATCAAGTGGCAGGCTTTGTGATAGTTTTCGTTAGTCCTTTAACTGACTTCGGGCTTCACAGAGGAGAAGAACATTAAAGTCACAAATGTCGAGGGGGGGGGGGAACAGAAG